TCGGGCCTCTCCCCTTACAGGGGGATTGTTGACGAAAAGTAATACCCCCAACATATTCAAAGAATAGTCCAAACATAGTCTGGGGACTATTGTTTGAGTATTTGTTGGCCTGTTGGGGGTATTTCCGGTGTATCTTTTATTTTTCGTCGGAAATCCCCCTGTAGGGGGACAGGCACGACTTAAGGCTAGAGCGACGGCAAGTCCGCTCTCTTCCCAGGCCCCATGTCGGCACGATCGAACTGGTTACGGAAAAGAGCGGGCACGAAGACCGGCAGCAGGGCTTGTTCGTTCTGAGCAGGGCTCTCTGTGCATGCCGCCGCGTGCGTTGTTCGTTTGAGGAAGAGTGCCGCCTGCTCCGCCTGCTCCACGGCGGCCGCAGTCGGTTTGGACAACGTTTGTTGCTGGGTATCGTGCCCGCACCCATTCCAGGCGAGGCAGGAGTGAGGGAGGGTGGGAAGGGCAGAAGAAGAGGGAGGAGGGAGGATGCATGGGGGAGGAGGGGGAGGAGGAAGAGAGGGAGGGAGGGAGGGAGGGAGGGAGGGAGGAGGAGGAGAAGGAGGTGGGAAGAGGAGGAAGAGGAGGAGGGGGAAGGAGGAATAGGAAGAGGAGGAGGAACAGGAGGAGGAGGAGGAGGAGGAGGAAGGAGAGGAGGAGGAGGAGGAAGGAGGAGGAGGAGGAGGAGGGAGGAGAAGGAGGAAGTAGCAGGAGGAGGAGGGGAGGAGAGGAGGAGGGAAAGGGGAGGAGGGAGGGAAGGAGCGAGGGAGGGGCAAAAGAACAGGGAGAGAGGTCCAAGCTAAAGACCACACTGAGAGCGGCACGGGGAGAGGGGGGCAGCCACCAAGCCCGTCGATAGGGGGGGGCCTCTCAAGAGGGCCCCAGGCCGGAGCGAGAAAGTGCTCCTCCTCCTCCTCCTCCTCCCCTCCTCCTCCTCCTCCTCCTCCTCCTCCCCCTCCTGTTCTTCTTCTTGTTCTTCTTCCCTCTCACTTCTTCCCTCCCCCCCTGCTGCTTCTCCTCCTCCTCCTCCTCCTCCTCCTCCCCTCTTCCATCTCCATCCTCTTCCTCCTCCTCCTCCCCCCTCCCCTCCTTCCTCCCAAACAGGGACAGGGCCACTTTGCTGGGGGCGAGAAGGTGCTCGCAAGACCCAGTTGTTCTCCCAGGTGTCCGTCGAGACCACGACTCTGGGGGGGGCCAAGAGGGGGGTGATGACTATGGTTTTTTTGGGGGGGGTATTTCGGGGGTATTTTTGGGACATTTGTTTTCATTGTTCGTCCAAAATCTGCCTGTAGGGGGACATGCCCAACCTAATGCTTGTTATTCGACTGAGGCCACTCTTCCGGTGAGTGTTTCTGGGCCTCCCCGGGGATTCCGAGCAGATGGGGTCAGAGTCGGGGGGGGGCCAGAGGGGGGGATGACTAGGGGGGGGTATATCATGACGAGAACCATGATACTTCTTCAAGTTTCATGGCGCCGCTTCTTATTTCGTTACGCTCCTGCACCCCCCTCCCCTCTTGGGCCGCGCACACGCCGCCGGGCATGATCTGCCCCCCCCCCACCCCCCTTGGATGCCCCCCTCTTTGGCCGCCCCCGGACGATCAGAGGCGACGACAATGGAGGGGGGAACAGTACACTTTAGGCTTCTCAGATGGGGTCGGAGTAGATGGGGTCGGAGTATCGCGCCGCATCGCCGATGCATCGGCGATACATCAGCGATGCGGCTCCATGTGGGGCCCAATTTTCTTCACGCCGACGTCGCCGATGCATCGCCGACTTCGCCAGTGCATGGCCTGATGCATCGGCGATGCGTCGCCGATGTATCGGCGATGCGGCGAGATCCTCCGACCCCATCTACTCGGACCCAATCTAGGAGGCTTCTATACACGTACAGTAAAAGCCCATGCTAAGAAGCACCGGGGGATTGTCTCCAGGGTGCTCTGGGCTTCCTGGGCTTCGACGGGTTTGGTTGCGGAACGCGCGACGTTCCCACGCCGACAGAAATCAAGGGACGCCCTGGGGGCTCAGGTCTGGGTGCCTTGTGGAAGGCCTCCTGTGGTTGAGCTCCTACACTGCCCTTTTTGAGACATGCCCCGCGTGCGGATCATGTATTAAACATGCAGGTATTTAGTATTAAAACGACGATGAGTTCATGAACATATTGATTCATACATTAATCATGTATTAAGAATCCTATATGTTTTAACCCCTATCAAAAATCATATATTTTGGAAGAACCTAATCCCTGTACTGTGCACGGAATCAAGGGTGCCGATGGTACGTGTCTTCGGCAGGGCCCCCCCCCAGCGACTGCGTGTGGTGTGCCCGCCCCCGGGGCTGCTCGCCTTAAGCCGGGCCTTCGGCAAAAACGAAACAATTAATACATATATATATATATATACATATATGTATATATCCTTGAGATTCTCATGGGTTTTATCTCGTCCCCCCTCCGTCCTCGAAACGATCTCCTCTAAACCGCCTCTCCGTAGCCGCCTCGGCTTAAGGGTGCGGGGGTCCCCAGAATGACCCCCTCCGAGGAGCCCGCGCCCGACTGAGCTCCCCCCTCGGCGCCTGGGGGAGCTCGTCAGCCCGCGCTGCCGCGGCGGCGGCACGGCCGTGGCGATGTTCGGCGCCGCGGGGGCTGGCGCGGGCGCCCCGCCTGGCCCGCCTGGGCTGGGCCCTGGCGGGGGGCTCCTCGGCGTTGGCGGCGGCGGAGCGCTGGGCGGCTTTCTGGGGCTGCCGCCTGGCGTCGGCGCCCTGCTCCCGCCGCCGCCTGCCGGAGTGGCCGCTGGAGCTGCCGCGGCCGCGGGCGGAGCCGCCGCAGGCCCCGCAGCACCAGGAGGCGGAGGCAAGGCGGCGGCGAAGCCCAGGATGGGCGGCAAGGGCGGCATGGGCGGCATGGGCGGCCCAATGGGCGGCATGGGCAAGCCGCCTGCCGCCCCGCCGCCCGCTGCAGGACGCGGCAGAGGTGCCGGCGCTGGAGCAGGAGCGCCAGCGGCCATGGGGGGCCCCGTGGTGCCGGGCCTGATCCCAGGGATCCCCGGGGTGGGAGCCCTCGTGGGGCCACCCGCTCACGCTGGAGGTGGAGCCGGCCTCGCCGTGGCAGGGCAGGCCGCCCACGCGGTGCCAGCCGCCGCCGCGCCTGTGCCCTTGGGCTGGCAGGCAGGCATGCCCATGGCGGGCGGGGCGCTGCCGCAGTTCGGAGCAGCGTTCGCCCAGCCGGCGGTGGCGGGGGTCGCGGCGGCGGCGCAGCAAGCTGGGCCCTGGGTATACGTGCCCATGGCGCCCCAGGCGGTGACCCACGGCCTCCTGGGGCTGAGTGCCGGTTGCCGCGTCGAGCTGGTGATGTACGACGCTGCCTGTCAGCCGAGCGGGACGACGACGATGACAGTGACAGGGCTCTACCCACCTGACGCGGCAGGGGAGTTCGTGGAGTGCACAGTGGAGAGCAGCAGCGACCCTCTCTACCTGCCGATCCTGCAGGGCATCTTTGCGATGGGAAGCAGCGTGGTGCACCTCTGCACCCAGGGCGTGGCGACATGCTGTCGCACGACCGCTTGGCCAGGGCGCAACGTGGTGCACTCGGACACGCTGCGCGTGCTGGGGGCGGCCGGGCCTGGAGGCGGAGTCGCTGATGGCGCTGGAGCTGCCCCGCCTGGCGCCCTCCCTGCAGGAGCTGCGCCCCCCGCCGCTGACGCAGGCCCAGTGGTGCCGGGCAAGAACGCAGGTGGAGCTCCCAAGGGCTCAGGCGGTGCCGACGGTGACGACGTCGATGGCAAGACGGCCGAGGAGATGAGGAAGATCGTCAAGAGGCTGAAGGAGAAGCTTCAGAGGAAGCGCTCGATGGGCGAGGCGCTGGCCGAGCGCGCGGAGGCTGCGCTGGAGGGCCGCCGCAGCCGCAAGAAGCAGAAGAACAGGGACAAGGATAGTTCCGACAGTGCGAGTTTTGACGAGGCCCCGACCGCTGGTTCCGGCCGCCGAGTGCAGAAGCTGGCCCGCTCCGACCCCGGGGCGCTCATGGCGGCGGGTTTGAAGCAGATCCGTGAGTACTTGGCGCAGCGGGGCGGGGCCGACAACGATGATGAGCTGGATAAGATGGCGTCCAACGTGGTGCAGTATATCACGAGCGTGTGGCATGGCATGCACCCTCAGAGCGAGATGGGCGTGCGGGATGTGCGCGAGATGAGGATGGTCGGGGAGTGCTTGGACGCCCTCACGAGGGGCGATCTGCCACAGCTGGGCGACATGCTGATGCAGAGGCTGAAGGCCATCGAGCAGGCCACCAAGGACGGGCACTGGAAGGTGGCCGAGCACCTCGAGCTGGTCGACTCCACCGACATCGGGCTGGCCAGCAGCGCCGAGGTGTCGGCGGCCGTGGCGACCTACTCGGAGGGCGCGAAGCTGAAGGAGCGCCTCACTCGGGCGGGCGCGAGGAGGCCCCCCTAGGGACTCGGCGAGGGAGAGGGTGGGCGCACCAGGACGCCCTCTCCCGCACCGCCGCCCCCACAGATATCGAGTCCTGGAGCACAGGGGGAGAAGGATGCGCCGACGCCCGGATCGAGGAAGAACCGGTGGAGGGCGAAGCTCTGGCGTGGACGCGGCCGAGGGCGAGGTCGCGGTCGCGGGGACGCTATCGAGGCAGCGAGGAGAGCGTCGCCGAGCCCGGCGGCCGGGACAGGCGCTGGCGAGAGATCTGGGAGCCCGAGGAGCCCGTCGTCCCACTGGCGGCCAGCACCTGGTTCGATCAGCCCTGGAGTGGATCGCAAGCCGGCCCTTCGGAGACCCTCGAGCCCTACTCGTCGCGTCAGGTTCGAGGACGACGTGACCACGGAGGCGAAGGCAGGCAACAAGGGCAAGCCGAAGGGCGACAAAGGACAGCGCCGCGGGACGCCACCTTGGCGCTCGTGGAACCCGAAGGGCAAGGGCGGCACGAAGGGACAGGCCCGTGGCAAGGGCAAGGACAAGGGCCAGGGCAAGAGGCCCAACAAGAATCGGAAGTAGAACGCATGAGCTTCGAGGGCGCTCGAGAGGCGTGTGACTGCACGTCCGACGGCAGCTGGGAGTCCGAGATCACCTTCTCCTCGTACCTTGAGGATGAGTGCAACGGCGCCGCTCATGGCGCAGTCTCGGACGAGCCGTCCACGCGAATTCACGACTATCCCTACTTGAACCAGACGCGTGCCGCCAGTGAGCTGGGCAGTCTCTGTGGAGCTCCAGTTCGTGTTGTTGGACGCCGTCTAGCTGATCTCAGTACTTCTTCGCCCGCGTCGAGCGGGGCACTTGGCAATTTTGATGCGAAATCGTACGATGATATCCTCTCACCACTGACCGCAGGGAACGGACGGCGCGACCTGCTGCCGTTGCCCTGCGTCGATCTGACGATCGAGGAGTTGAGCATGAACGGCGTTGTGTTCGGCGAATCGAAGCCAGTTGATCCCTCCTTCGAGGGCGACCTGAACGGCTGGCTGAAGCTCACCGTCCTGAGCCTGAACTTCCAGTACGCGCTGGGGGGCAAGCACCCGGGTCCCAAGATGGCCCCCTGGAAGGTGAGGCACGGGCCCGCCAGCGCGGTGCAGCTGAAGGCCTTGAGGTTGCTGGCCAGGAGTGTGGGCACGTTTTTGTGCCAGTACGAGGGCTCCGTGGCGAACCTCGACTGGACCCAGGAGCTGAAGTCGTCGGCAGTGAGCTACACGGGCATGGAGGTGTGCCCAGCCGAGCAGCTGGACCGCGAGCGCCTCCTGCTCGCCCTGCCGCCGAAGGAGGCTTGCGGCTCGGTGCTGGCGACCGAGGTGAGCGAAGGATGGATAAGGAGCGTGCTGGAGCACCCGGAGTGGGTGATGAAGAGCCCCGCGGAGCTGGGCGAGATGCCCAAGACCCCGCGCGTCTGGGCCGAGGACGACGAGTGGGAGCTCATCGCGGCCGAGCTCGTGAACAGGGGCATCCTCGTCCCGATCGAGGCCGACGAGATCGTGAAGGTCAAGGGCCGTCGCGTGCTGGGCGGCCTCTTTGGTGTACGAAAGTCTGGACACGCCAAAGGCTCGGGGCCGCAGCGGCTGGTGATGAACATCATCCCGAGCAACTGGATGCAGGAGACGGTCCAGGGGGACATGAGTCTCCCCCCGACGACAGACAAGTGGAAGAGCATCATCTTGAGGAGCGGCGAGGTGATGATGAGCTCGTCGGAGGACCTCAAGTGCTGCTTCTACGTGTACCGGTTACCCGCGGTGTGGCACAAGTACATGGCGCTCTCCAAGAAGGTGAAGCTAGTTGTTTTTTGTTATTTTCCAATTTGTGTTTATTTTATGTTTCGGGTCTTGGTTAGTGTCGAGGGACGGCGAGAGTGCACGTGGCTCCGCGGCGCGAGTGGATCCCGATGGGCCTTGTGCTGTCTCGATTCGGGGTGCACACACACGGCGGGCGAGGATGCATCACAAAGCAGACACCACCGGCACGCAGGGTCTTTTGCTTCTGTGACGATGTGGCTGGAGGGAGTAGCCTCCCGTCTGCCCTGAGGAGTCCGTTGAATTGAGCTCGGCGTGAACCTTCCTGCCCTACACCTGACATCGCGGTGAGTAAGGGGGTTTCGGGATGGTTCTGTCTGCCAGGGTATGATGGCGAGGGCCGCCGACGAGTGCGAGGCGACGCTGGGCCGATCCACAGCCGGACGAAGCGCCCAAAGGTTACATCGGTCGAACAGGGCAGCGTTGGCTTCTCCCCCTCCAAGTGGGCGAACCCCTTCAAGGTGACGAAGATGATGCCGAGGAGCGAGGCCATCGCGAACTACGAGAGTCACCTGCGCGACTCGCCTGATCTGCTGGCCTGCTTGCCCGAGCTCTCGGGCTGTCGCCTCCTGTGCCACTGCAGGCGAGGGCAGCGCTGCCACGGGGACGTGCTGGTCAAGGTGTGGTCGGAGACGGTGCCGAAGGCGACGGGCGGAGTAGACGCGCTCATGCCGGAGGGTGCTGGTACGGCTTGCTGGGTAGTGTGGCAGGTGTACATCGACAACCTTGACGTGCTGGAGGTTACCGACGAGGTCTCCGCGGCGGCGCTGAAGGCACAGGGCCCCCCCGAGGTGGTGCAGCTGGCTTGCGAGAGGTACGCGCAGCGGGGCGTGCCCAGGAGCGAGGACAAGGCAGTGTGCCGCGAGCCTGTCAGTCAAGCCTTGGGCGAGCTCATTGACGGCACGAGGGGCGTGATCAGCCCGCCCCTGGAGTTCGTGTACCGCCTGCTGGGCCTCACCTTCGCCACGCTAGATCGGAGTGTGCTGACTCAGACTTGGCTGCAGGTGGTGGCGGGCCGCTGGGCGCGAGCGATGATGTTCAGGCGTGAGACGATGTCCGTGTTCGACGACCTGTGGGCGTGCCGTGGTAGTCGCTGGAGCAGCGAGCGGGGCGGCATGGGAGCTTGCCCCGCTCACCGTTTCAGAGGGGAGCTGATGCTGCCGTAGGGGCATCCCAGGCCGCTCATGAGGAGGCCGACTTCAGTACGCCCTGACGAGCGGCCTTCGTCGACCGTGAATCAGTCCGGACATCGCCAGCATTGCGCAAAAGGGTGGCTGAGTGTGCCGGGATCATGCTGCGCACCTGCTCCCCGAGGGCCCTTGCGACTGCTATTCAGGCCAGACGGGCTTCTTACTATTCCGCACTGCTCCCAACCATCGGCTGCAGGACGAGGGCGTGCTGCTGTCGCTCTTCGACGGGATCGGAGGTGGAAGGCGTGCCCTCGACATGCTGGGGCTGAGCGTGGCCGCGTACGCCGCGTCGGAGACGGACCCAGAGGCCTGCCGCGCGGTGAAGTACGCGTGGCCGGACGTGGTGGAGCTGGGCGACGTCGCAAAGCTGAGCGCGCAGGACATCGCCAAGGTCCGGGACAGGGCCCCGCACGTGCGCTGGGTTCTCCTGTTTGCTGGAGCTCCCTGCGTGGACCTCACCAGGCTGAGCGTCGACAGGCAAGGGCTGTCAGGAGCGAGGTCGGGCCTCTTCTACGAGATCAAGCGGGTGAAGTCGCTGGTGAAGGAGGTGTTCTCCGTGGAGGTCGAGGTGTTCGACTTGATCGAGAATGTGTCCTCCATGACGGCCGAGGATCGCGACACGATGTCAGAGCACATGGGGCTGGCCCCGGTGATGATCGACGCCGCCGACATCTCACACGTTCGCCGAGAGAGGCTCTACTGGTGTGACACCGACCTCATGACGCCGTGGCAGGGCGAAGTCAGTGTGAAGAGTGAGGTGGTGAAAGTGACGATCCCAGGAGGTCCAGGCCCGCTGGGCCGCTGGCTGCGCCCTGGGCGAGAGTGGTCAGGAGCCGAGGTTCCTGAGCAGCGTCTGCCCACCTTCGTGAGGTGCATCCCGCGCGGGCGTGCCGGCGACAAGCCGAAAGGCCTGCACCAGTGCAGCGAGGCCGAGCTGGAGCGTTGGCGGAGGCACGACTTCTGCTACGCGCCGTACCAGTTTCGAGATCCTCACTGTCTTCGATGGCAAGGAGGTGCGCTGGAGCCTGCGGACTCCTTTGAGAGAGAGATGTTGATGGACTTTCCACCTGGGCACACGGCGACAGCGCGGGCCACACGATTCCGCAAGCTGGCTGAGCTCGAGGTGGTACGATGCGCCCTGCTGGGCAACTCGTTCCAGTGCGGCGTGGTGGCCTGGATAGTGGCGCACTGGGCTCACCGACACGGCTACCTGGACACGGTCCCCACGATAACGGAGGCGCGCGCGGTCGGAGGCGCCTTCGACGCTGCCGAGGGCCTGGTGCAGGTGGCCAAGGAGGGCGACGACAGCGGGGTCGTGATCAGGGACCGTGGCCTCGAAGAGGCCGAGGCGCAGGCGGACCCAAGCATTCAGATCGTGGAGGAGCTGATCCGGCGAGCTGAGGTGAGGGGCTCGGACGTGCGCCTCGACACGCTGGAGGTCATGCGCCCTGACTTGTAGCCACGCCGCCCGATCAGCGTGAGCCGCTGGACGTGGAAGACAGTGCTGGTCTGGAAGTGGAGGTGGAAGAGCCACATCACGGCGCTGGAGGTGCTGAGCACGCTGGCAGGCCTTCGCTGGCGCTTCAGAGTGGGCCATCACCTTGGCACGAGGTTCGCTCATCTGATGGATTCGCAGGTTGGACTTGGTGTGATATCACGGGGGCGCTCTTCCTCGCATCTGCTCAACGCAGCCGTCAAGAGGATCTCAGCTCTGGTCCTGGCGGCGTCGGCAAGACCGATTTACGGGTACACCGAGACGGACAAGAACCCAGCCGACGACCCCTCGCGGGAAGGCGGCCCGTCAGGTGACAGCAATGCCGAGGAAGCGTCGCATTGATTATGAGATAGACTTGGTGTCCCGCATTCGGGTACGACGCGCGATTGGCAGATTATCACACACACTAGTTCAACCTCGTACGTTTCGCAGATATGGTCAGATGGTGCAAAGCTTTGTCTCTTGGATTCGTGCCCATGGTGTCGACGTGGCCACTGACCTGGAGCAGCTCGATTTTCAGTTATGTGAATGGATAGAAACGCTATGGGCGCATGGGAGGCCTGCTGGAGATGCTGGGGCCACTTTGTCTGGCGTACAGTTTTTCTTGCGACGCAAAAGAGTGCTTCACAGTGCGTGGAGCTTGCTGAAGGCTTGGCAACGGACTGAGATGCCACAAAGAGCACCACCCATGCCAGAGTATGTGCTGATGTCACTTGCCACGGTGGCTCGGTCCTGGAGTCGAAACGACGTGGCGGTGCTTCTTGTGATTGGCTACTCTGTATTTTTGCGAACAATGGAGCTTCTTACTCTTCGTAAGTGGCAGCTGCAGTTCAGCAACGACGGCCTCAGCCTTGTCATAGCCCTGCCGGTGACCAAGGCAGGCAAGAGACGGCACTGCGAGGAGTCGGTCACTCTCCACGACGCTAGGATTGTTCACTTCGTCAGAGTGCTCACTCAGCATTTGCCGCCTGAGAGCTCTTTGCTGCAGGGCACCGTGCCCGAATTTCGCGATGTGTTCAAAGCTCTCTTGAGGTCGTTGAACCTGGAGCGGCACAGATATCAAATATATTCTTTACGCCGTGGAGGTGCCACCACTCACTATAGAAGGTTCGAGAACATAGGCTTGACTTTGATAGTTGGGAGATGGCAAGATACTGCTGTGGCCAGACTGTACATCAGTGACGGTGTGCAAATTTGCTTCAGAACGATTTCTTGCCTGCAGAATTGGAACGATTTCGTGTACTGGCGAGTGCTCTTAACTTTGATGTGGGATGAGAGAGTGAAAAGAGGGAGCAAAATATCTGAGCAGCTTCGCTGTCAGCATTTTCCGGACCCTCCCCACCCGTCCCTGGGAAATAATGGCGGTAAACCAGAAAGGGGTGCATGGAAAGGGGTCCCGGGGGGGGTTCGGACACGCGTCGAGCGCTGCCGCCCTCACCCGAGGGGGTTCGGACTCGCGTCGCGCTGCCGCTCCC